GGTGCATGTGGTGTGTGTGGTGCATGTGGTGTGTGTGGGGTGCACAGAGTGGTGCGAGTGTGAATGGGTGGTGCATGGGTGTGTGTATGTGTGAAGTGTAAGTGCAGTGCATGTGGTGTGTGTGTGTGTGTGGTGTGGTGTGTGGGACGTATCCCTGTGCCCTCCTCTTGCAGAGTGGATGCAGTCCTTAGGGAGTGCCATAGAAACATACTAGCCTGAGATTCTCCAGGGCCTAACACAGGCCTAAACCATGAGAAAGTGATTCACCTGTTATTTTCTGCACCCGTGTTAAGGGGACTTGACCTTGAAAGGAATTAGATAGACTGAGCATTTGATCTTCTCTACCCTAGCCAGGAGTCTGCTGCGGGGCCGGTAGTTGGTACATCAGAGGGGATTCTGGCCCCGAATCCGTGGGTCTGGATTTTCTTCAGGAAAGAGGAAGGAATCGCACAGCAGCTGGACAGGGAGCCTTTGTGGGGAACAGGATAGGAAGCTGGCAGGGAGGTGAAATTAGACGGGGATTGCCCAGGTGAGCTGGGGATGGGCCCTTGCGAGCCAGGTCTGTTATCAGAAAGTGGAAATAAGAATGAGACTATCTATCCTGGCTAACATGGTGAAACCTCGTCTCTACTAAAAACACACACACACAAAACAGCCGGGTGTGGTGGCGGGTGCCTGTAGTCCCAGCTACTCGGGAGGCTGAGGCAGGAGAATGGCTTGAACCCGGGAGGCAGAGCTTGCCGTGAGCCGAGATCGCGCCACTGCACTCCAGCCTGGGCGACAGAGAGACACGCTGTCTCAAAAAAAAAAAAAAAAAGAATGAGACTATCAACTTCCTGCAAGTGACCCATCTGTTACACACGAGCACTCCAGTCTGTAAGGGTGGGGGGAACTGCTCTTCTTTTCTTCTATTCTGTGTTACTTTAGGCAGAAACAAAAGAAATCCCTTCTTATTTGGCAGAAAAGTCTAATTATTTCCTGACCTGTAGCTAGACCTATGCAGTTGGATAATTAGAGTCCTGCTGGTCCCCTTGCCAGAATAACCGGGGTGACGAAACCGAGGGCCCGGTGTCCCCCGTGCCATGTGTGCACACAGGCTGCCTGCAGCCGTGTGGGCAGTGACAAGAGCCTGTCCTGTGTGACCGGTGGAACCCGTCTCATTCCTTCAGGTCTCAGGTGTCCTGGCCCATCCCACTTGGCTTAGAGACTTCTAACAAACTGTAAACTAACCACCACCCCGACTTTGGAATTTGTCACACCTCCATAAGTATTTTCTTTTTCTTGTCTTGTCTTGTCTTTTTTCTTTTCTTTCTTTCTTCTTCTTTCTTTCTGAGGCAGAGTCTCACTGTCACCTAGGCTGGAGTGCAGTGGCGCAATCTCGGCCCACTGCAAACTCCGCCTTCCAGGTTCAAGTGACTCTCTTGCCTCAGCCTCCCAAGTAACTGGGAATACAAGAGTGTGCCACCACGCCCGGCTAATTTCCTTTTTGTTTTGTTTGGTTTGGTTTTGAGACAGAGTCTCGCTCCATCACCCAGGCTGGAGTGCAGTGGCACGATCTCAGCTCACTGCAGCCTCTACCTCCTGGGTTCAAGCAATTCTCCTGCCTCAGCCTCCCAAGTAGCTGGGACTACAGGCGCCTGCCACCATGCCAGCTAATTTTTGTATTTTTAGTAAAGACAGTGTTTCACCATGTTGGCTAGGCTGGTCTTGAACTCCTGACCTCAGGTGATCTGCCCACCTCAGCCTCCCAAAGTGCTGGGATTACAGGTGTGAGCCACTGTGCCCAGCCCCCTTAAGTGTTTTCAAAGAGAATGTCAACATATAGATATTGGATTACTTATGTGTAGAAGCAAATTGAGGGAAAATAAGGAATGATGCAGGCTTGCAGGACAATGCAGTTGGCTAAAACACAAAATTGGAACAGAAACATCTTATAAATCTATGAAAAAGAGCAGGCTCCCTTTACGTAAGCTCCCAGCCCCACACATCCACCAGCTCCCAGTCCCCTTCTGCCACTGCAGAAGACACTGGAGGGCTGGGTTCTCCGAGAGCACAGTATTCTTCACCCCCCAGTGACATTTCCTGCTCCCGGCACCACTCTCTCCACCCCATCTCCCTTCGACCCGAGGAGTGAGACAGCAGCTCTGCCCAGGTAGGGCTTCTGTCCCCACCAAAACCTTCAAATGGGTGTCTGTCACTCTGCAGTGGTTGTTTGCTATTTTTAGCTGCTCATAAAGGAAACCACTGTGGCTGTGGCTCCTCCTGCATGCTCCCCTTGAGCTCCCAGCTCCCAGCTGTTTAGGTCAAGCTAAGCCCGCTTTCCGACAACCTGCTGGGTCCACCAGAAACCTTGGACCAGGACTTGCTTTGCTAGCAGGGCAGGACTCTGGGCGGGAAGGAGGAAGCCAGGTTTCTAAATTATTCTTCATAATGCTTTAGTAGCTGGGTTTGAGGCCAGAGTCAAGATCCACGGCTCTATTTTTCATTTTAAAACATTTCTAAAATGCTCGAGGTGGAGATGAGAATTGTTTGTTGGGTGATCTCTGCTGAGTCACCCAGTCTTGGGTGCAGTGCCTCATCCCTGCGTCAAAGCTGGGAGTCTTTGAACACCTTCCTCTACCAAGCCCAGGAGGTTCTGGGATGATGTGAGATTTTTAAAAATTAATAGATATGTCTAGTGTCATGAATCTCATGTCTATAAGCAGTTATACTTTGTTATACTTTTGGGTTTTAAAAAATACTTTTAGAAAAATATGGGACTTTTGTTAAGTTGTCCATGTAATTCTTAAATTTCTAGAAGCGGGGAAAAGAAGAGGGTCCAAAACATGTATAGTTTGTCTCTGAGTGAAGAGTTTTCCCTTCACCCTGAAGCGGTTCATATTATTAGTATTGCTTCAATTATCAAGTTGGGCCTCAATATTCTGAGAGGTCAGCACCTTGGGGGGCCCGGGAGGCTGTGGTGGTCACTTCACAGGCCCTACGAAGGACCTCTAGCAAGTGGAAATACACAGCTTCCCCCCAGCAGCCCTTAGGGGTAGACATTTCGAGAATTCCCTCTGAGCAAAATGCTTTTAAGACTTGGCTCAGTGCTCTCGGCAGCTGCTGTGGAAAGCGAGATTTCTGGAGACCAGAGAGGCTGTGGAGACATTTGACCCAATCTCCTTGGCTCCATCTCACTGGCTTAGTCATTTCCACCACCTGGAGGCTGGAATGTGCTTCCAGCCTGTTTCCTGTCCTGCTCACACGGTCAATACCGGAGCCAGCAGACCCAACCAAAGGTCACCGGTGGCCAGAGCCTGGCCCTGCGCCAGACAGGGCTTTCCCCTCCAGGAGAAGCCGTGAGTTCTTCTTGTAATCATTCACATGACTTACGGAGACACCGTTCAAGATGCCTTCCCCAGGAGGAAAGTAGCAATGCTGAGTAACTGCACTAACTCTCCAGGTGAGCCTCAGATGGCCACGTGACAGTCTCTGAGAGTGAAGACCAGACCACACGCCTGCCGTCCCTCCCAGGAGAGACTGATGGAAATGGTAGTGCCATCGGCTGAGCCCCTGCCTCCCTCTGGCTCCCTCCCGGGTCCCCACAGATGCACCAGGCACTCTTACGCACCTGGCGGGTGTTCAGAAAGTCACAGCTGTGTGTACTGAGCATCTCCTGCCATCAGACACCACCTGGGTACTTGACTTCATGGACTCACTACATTTTCACAGCAACATGTGAAGGAGGGCATCGCCCCATTTTAGAAATAAGGAAAGTGAGTTCAGAGAAGCTAAGTAACTTGTCCAAGGCCACCGAGCAAGAAAGTGGCTGAACCAGGGTTTGACCCAAGGGGCCGTGTTCTCTCCATCTCCTTTCATAAAGGTCAAGGCAAACAAATTCTCCAAAAACAGAGAAAAATGTTAAAAGCTGGAAATAGAGGCCCCATTGCTCACGTTCATGTGCAAAGATCCGCCTAAAGAATTGTCTTTTGTGTTCTGAAGTCCAGGAGACATGGCCGCTCAAACCCAGAGGGGAACTTCACTCATGGAGCTTCGGTGAATTCAGTC